ACAACTCCCATACACAGAGCATACCTCCTGCCTCAGGGAAACAGGCCAGGTCTGGGCTACTGGGTCATGATTCAAGGCTTGAAGACACACTCATCCATGCACCGGCATCAGTGTCGTCATCTCCAGGATACCAGCACATCTGCTTTACATAGTGTAACCATTTAGTAACATGCGCCTAAGCTAAGTGGCTAAATGTACCTTGTTTTGAAACAATTTTCAACCAACATGAAGTGGTGATTGGTTATAAAAGGTGAACAGAAATGAGAGGTGGATTTTCAAGTTGTTTAAAAAGTAAATAAAAATTGTGGTCTGCATTCCCAGGTCAAACAATAGCTCAAAGTCAGAAAGATTTGATACAGAGCTTTGACTAGGCCAATGTAGCACAGGGGCTTAGCTCCATCCAACCTCACATCTCCTATGACCAGCTTCCATGAAGTTCCTCCACTAATATCTTCCACAGTGTTCTCAGGACAGTGGGATATTTTAGTTTTCTCCAACACAAACGATTTTACGTGTAGGTCATGGGATTAAATCCTCCCATTCCAGAAGGGAACATATTTTTCTAAAAATGGACTGTCGGTTTCAAAAACACCCACAGCTCAGTATGGAAATACCACACTGAGTGCCCGTGTAAATGTTGTTTAGTAAACAACGTATTCTTTGTGGTGCAAGACAGTTTATGGCTATTGATTTAAAATACATGGCTTTCAAGCTCTGCTTTTTAAAAATCTCCCATTTCTAAGTCAGCCCTTTTTACCAAGTGATCACTTGTAGCACAACACGAGAACATGAACTGTATCAGGCCCTTGGGACTACAAGTGCATTTTTTGCACTTCATTTTATTTTGGGGTATCACAACAAAAGCGGCTGAATACAAACAAACCAACCGGTTTGAGATTTAGAGTTTTAAACGAAACTAAAAAGACGATTGTGTACTATTTTGAGTTCACATAAAGTCCCAATAACGCACACTGAAGTTTGTGAGTCTAAAATAAGACAAAGTTCAAAGAATGTGAATATTTTCAGAAAGTATTGCGAGCCTCATCATCCAAAGCCTTCATAGATTATCAATATAACCGTAGCAGCATGGAACTGACCTGGTCTCAATCTGAAACCTCAGTTATAGAGTTAGCTACACCTCACTCTACTCTACTTATTCAGCCGACCGTCTGAATGTTAACGTGAACTAGATTTCTGTGTCAGACTTTCAAAGGAGTATAGGGATAACAGATTATAACATTAAATTAGAACCAAGATAGTTTTGTTTTTGTAGTTTTTAAATAAAAAAAAACACTATTACGTTGATAGAATTTCCAAACTACAAACTACCTTCTTATGGATTCACATCAGCAGCAATGATTCAGATCCATCTTCCCCACTCTGTGTGCTCATCTTCATGGATACCAGGAGTAAACACTGTAATCTCTGCAGAAGAATTCAGTCAACTCAGACTACAAATGCCTCTGTGTTTGAGTGTTGACAGCACACAGGAGTTTGCCTTGGCGTGCGGTCACAGGTCAGGAAGCGCCGGCGTAACGTTGCTAAGCTCATGTCTCTCAGCAGCTCCGCGATTGCAGGCGACGCCGCCGCACCTCGCCTCACGTCTCACCTGATTAAAGTGGGAAAATGGCACAAGCTCCATGTAAAATTAGGTCACGCAAGATTTTACAGATGGTCCTAGCTGCCAAGCATGTTTTTCCAATCAGGGCTGATCAGGGAGGGAAATTCCCAGACAGCGTGAATTATTAAAAAACTGGAAATGGAATCTCATGTGGCGCTGTGACACTCGACATTCCCAGATGGGTCTCTCAGATGGGGGGAGAAAGAGTGGTTCGGAAGGCTGGGGACTGATGAGACTTCTGATTGGCTCAATCTGGGGACAGAGTTTCCTCCTATTGTCACACGCTGCAGGGAGAATGAGAGGGGGGGGATGCCATCACATCTGGGAGATTTTTCACGCTGACTGGTCCTCTGAACACGCTACGCAAACCAAAGCATCGGAGATTGAAGGGCTTTATTTAAAAAGGAGCTTGCACTTCAAAGCATAAATAAGTAAACATTTAATAGGCAAACAATTTGTCAAAACTCAACTCTGCCTGAACGCTAAATGGGAAAGAAAAGTTGAAGTCACGACAGGTTTCTGCTGGAAAGGCTGAGCTAAAAGACAAATATGACAATTAACAAATCAGCCATCTTTAAAGACGTGTAGAAAGCAGAGATCTGCACCTCAGATAAAGACATGCAAGACATTTTTATTGCTTAAACTGAAAAATAAAAACTTGATTTTTTTACAAATTATAAGAACTCCATTTATTAAAATGAATAAGTGCAATAATTTGCTAATTTGATGGAAGTTTTTGAGAATCCCCTTTACCAATTTCCTTGTGATGTCCCTTTTCTCTTAGTGCAAACTCTTCAAAATGAGAAGGACAAACAATACATACTTTTCAGGAAGGATAAATCTGAGTCAGTATTTATAAGTCAGCCAAAGGCAGTTCATGCAAAACTGAAACTGACGGCAAAAAAACATTGATACAATAAATGAATGAAAATCACTTCCTAACACATCAGATACATTTGCCTAGACATAAACCTTAACTTTTGAGACTTCCTTTATCATTTTTTGGCTAAATTGGCTGGTTTTGAGTCTGAAATGAAACCCTGATTCCTCACGATTTGTTTCAGACAATTCAGTGTGGCAGACATTTGTTTTTCTTTTCCAAGTTTCCATCCACCACATACGTTCAAACGATTTCCCTGATCCGGGCCACTCTGTCGACTGCATCAGCATGTATAGAACAGGAATGACTGACGGTCATCCTCCAGTAGTCTCGTTGATTGTCACAGTCCATTGTTTGTGTCTTTTTTCTTTTTTTTTCTTGTTTTACATACGTGACTTGGTTCTGCTGCTGCAACACAAAACACGTCTGACGAAGCTGAAATCCTCTGACACCTTTAAAGCCAAATACAATCTGGAATGAATGATTTACTGGTTAGCAAATCACTTGTGAGAAAAGAGGAAACATTATCCGTCCTGTTCAGCCTTCAACTCAAGTACTCCGTATCGCACAGCAGCTCGGAGCTGCTGTAAATCAGTCAGATTAATGTAGAAGCCTCTGGACACTGGCCTTTAAAACTACCTGTGCTGCTTCCCGTTTCACCAACAACAAGAAAAAAAGCTACCCAGACAACATCACCATCCATTGCACATCCTAACGAGAGTTGCAGAAGAGAAATAAAAGTTGTGTCACAGGAGACGATCCCACCGGGTCCAGCAGACGCTGCTGCCAGCGTTCACAGGTTAGAAATATGTGCGACCGTCCTTGAGAAGCTGTTGCTCTTTTTTTTTCTTCAGACGTTGGTGTGAGCCAGGCGGGCTGCGAGCGTTCTATCCAGCGGTCTGCGTTGCCATGTTGGGAGGCTGTCAGCGCGGCTCAGTGTCAAGCTTTCCCTGCTCTGCTGAATGAGGCTGACCATGAACGAGCCAGGCTGACCAAGATGCCAGCCTGACCAAGATGCCAGCCTGACGTTCGCCTTCCCCGTTGGGAAGCCTGGCGATGTTCTGTTTTGGTGGTGGAGAAATGTTGCCAGTCAGCTCTGCTTGAGGAGAGCACACTCAGGGTTCAGTGGAAATACTCATGTAACGGGAGGCGATGGTGTTACCGTTGTTCGCAGTGCAAACTGGTTTAACTCAAGCTTAGTGACTCTTTCAAAAGGAAAAGCTGAAGCAACAAGCGTGAGTGCAGGTTATTCCCCCTCTCCCGGTACTAAACAGGTGGAACTTCTCCTGGGAAAATCACTTAAGCCTCATCAAACTTTATTAGCATGCTAATAAGTTAGCCATTTAACCTGTAGTTGCTCTTCAGCGAATCTAACGAGTGAGTTTATGCACTTGTGTTGTACTTTTTACTTGGAAGAATCTTCTTCAAAGTGAAAAAGTCAGGGGTGGCACTAAAATGTTTTGAATGGCAGCAAGATGGGCTGGTAGACCAAAACTGAAAGTCTTCAGTGATCTTACGGAGTAGTGATTTATACAGAAATGGCTGGAGTAGAGGAGTGACGGATTTAAAAGTGGTCCAACGTGAAGCATATTAGCATAAAAGCATTAACAACAACAAAAAATAAATAAAAATGCAACGTAAACTCGGATGTTCGGCCTCACATTTCATGACTGGTTGGACACAAAAGAAAAATCTACTCTAATCTATTCCCACTCAGTTATTGCGCCATACTATAAAGAAAGAGGCCAAGCTGACGAAAACAACCTTCAGTGTGGAAGTTTGTATGGAAAGAAGACAACTCCGAATTATCCATTTTCAGCAACGGTCAGATACAATTAAGTCAGAAGAAGTGTAAGGCGCCATTTAAAAGGAAATTGCGCCTTCTGCGGCGCGTCTGAGGTGCATTAGGCTCAAAGTCAACAAGATTTTCAACAGGTGATCTAATAACGTACGACAGCAAAGTTGCTTGTTTTCTGACTTTTAAATCTCTGTAATGAAACATGATGGATCTGGACATGTTAAGTCACTTTGGAAATCTCAGGGTTAGGGTGAAATGTTACAATATTCTCCAGGAGCTACAATGCTTGTTTTAGTCAGCTAACGTGCTAACTGCTGATATAAGACGTTTTATACTCTTAAAAATAACATTTCAGGGGAAAAAATGGAAACAAGCCTAAAATTTCTGACCAATGTCTCTGAAATAAATAAATGCTGCAATTTATGAAAATTCATTGTTCTTTTCATTTAAAATGTGGAGCGTATGGAAGACTTTCTGGTTAGTAAAGGCCAGCAATTTAAGAGATAGGCGCTGTCCCACCCACCACCCCACCCGCACTATCCATAGGAGCGCCACTGCTGAAACGTTTAAGTCCAGTTTTCAAACACATAATGTGTTTGAAAACTATTTAGAAACAAATTACTCTACACAACAACCCCCAAAAAAGCCTAAGACCGCATGCGGACTTACTCCCTCCGCCGCCGCCTCCTTCAATGACCTACCTGGCCTCACAGTTTTCAACTTCACGGGACTTTTGCAGTTCTTTATCAGCGTCTGCACGTCGTACAAAGGTAACCCCGAAATGGAGAGGTTCTCCACCTCCAGCAGCAGCTCCCCCTCGCTTAATTTCCCGTCTCTGTAAAACACCAGGTTCTCGTCAATTTGGCCAACGTAGGCGAACTCCCCGTGCTCCGCGCCGCCGCGCAGGGACACGTTCAGCTCTCCGCGGGCGTCCTTCCCCACGGAGCACTCGTTCACCCTGGAGGTCCAGTGGTTCTTCTTCAGCGCCGGGTTGGTCATGGTGATGATGTGTTGCTCGGAGCCGACGCCGAACCGCAGCGGCTCTCCCGCCGGCCCTCCGCCGCTCAGATGCGAGAGTGAGTAGTGAGCGGTGGGTTTCACAAAGTAGATCCGAGAGAAGCGCAGCAAACTTTCCTTCTCTTCCACAGAAACATCAGCGCCTCCCGCAGCTATCCTGGGTCTCTCTAATCAAGCCATACCGGTCCGGTCCACTCTGGACTTACTCCTTAAAGTGCGCGCGCCGCTCTCATCACTTTAGTGCCCCTTTGCTGGAGTCATGTTGTATCCCACTTTTCTTATTTTATAATCCTTAGAGAGGAGGAGGAGGGGGGATTAAAAAAAAGCTTTAACGTGTTTTCTCTCCTGAATCAACTCGATGTGGGTTTGATCTCGTGCGTGTCAGGCTGCTAACTTCCCTGACGCGCGTCCCTCCCTCTCTCCCGTGTGCTCGCCTCAGACTCAGTCCCACTCTGGGCTCCGCAGTCATGGGGAAGCCTGGCCGAGCGCGCTGCGTTCAAGAGCGGTGGGAAATTTTGAATTCCGTTTCGGGAGCAGAAAATAAATCCCCAACGTAGTGTGTCTAAATAAAATGATTATAATTTGATGATTATTATACATTTGACATAAGAGAGAAAAATTAATTAGCACAAATAAAGACAGATAATACAAATCGCTCTCTACTATTTCTAATTTTATTATTTAGCTACTATTTTAATTCAATAAGGACTTGAGCTGATTTAATATTGTCCGCTCATATTTTATCAATATTATTATGTGTGCTATTATTATTATCGTTATTATTATTAATCACCTGTCATTTCTGACCATTAATAACAGCCATGATCCCTGAAGTTCCTGCAGTAAAATCCTTCAGTTTCTTTAAAAAAACATTATCAATTCTTCCTTGTCAAATAGATGACAAATCAGTTGCATCCACAGATGTATTTTTTTTTTTTTAATAATCTTAATAAACCCGATCAGAGGTTATCGTCCTCATGATGATGAATCGGAGATTGCGGTCGGATAATAGCAAACTACTAGAGAAGAGCAAAATCATTACAAGGACCGAGGCTTTCTTTCATTTGGTGTATTTCAGTGTCAAAAAAAATTTCACAAACATAAAAGCAGTTGTTTATCCAACTTGTAGGTGTCAACATTTATCATCATTCGCTTCGAACAGATAAATCCCGTCCACGTTTGCACCTGAACTCGTTGCATCCGTTGTGACTGACGGGGTCAGAGGTCACGCTACTCACGATGTCAAGCTGGAGCGTGAATCCATTGGATAATTAAGTTCGAATCTTGCAAGTGCGAGATTTTTAAAACGCGCTTGAAGGCAACAGGGTTCCCGTTTGGCGCATGCGTGGAACTACGAGACCCCAAGAGCTGAAATGGCTTTGCAGAATTAAAGGCTTCTGCTTGCTTCTTTAATAAAGTCGATTCAGATCCTGTGATTCTGTAACTTTTTCTTTTTTTTTAGGTCAAATCAATAAATATGTAATTGTAAAGCTATATTGTATGAATGATCTGTCACGTGTTTGCAGTTATGCAATTATGGCTGTGGAGAGAGTATGTCTCTGATGGGTTGATTTCATTTGTCTGACTCAGCTGCTCAGCAGTTATTAAACACGTGGGCCGCCCTGTGCGGACTCTGGCACTTCAGGTTAAACTGGCATTGCTCGTTACCTGTCGTGTCAGAAACTCCCTTCTCATTTGGTTTGTTTTCGTCCATCACGTCACGCAAAAGGTCTCACGAGTCAGAAGACTGTAATAGTTACAAAAGCAAACCTGTCTGGAAAAATGTCATCTGAGAAAAATAACCCCCAAAGAAAGGGCTAGAAAGTCAGTGGGACTGTGAGAAAGAGCAGCTATGCAATCGGGTTGGACCGCACCAAGAAAGGATGAAGGAGGACAGTCAGACAGCTTGAGACAAAGAGAGACACAAAAGAGATGAAAACGCGGCTGGAGAGGATCACATGGGCCGGGCCTCCCACCTAGGGAACAGCGGATGAGCTTTTCCCGGCCTAAAAACAGCAGCCAAGCGCTCCTGGGAGGGCAACCATTGGCCTGGATGACAGGAAATAGTAACTTTCCCACATCTCCATTCATTACCGGCTTCTCTATCATAGAACCCGCAGTCCTGCTCCTGTCTGTTCAGCGAAACTCCGGCTGTGGGGCGAGGTTCGAACAACAAATGTTCCTGAAGGCGGGAACGTAAAACACAACAGAAGACACGTGTGCCATGAATTATGAAGGTCTACATCCATTAACTGAGCGACATCAAACGACACAGGCCGAACATCACTTTCCCGACTTTAACATAAAAAATAGATTAGGCCGAGGTAAGCTGTTAAATGAAGGCAGACAGGCTAAGATGCTAACCTGCTCATCAAACTGGGAAAGGGAATGGAAGACGGGCATCCGGACCTGACGGCACCACCAGGCTCAGGTGTTCTGGCTTCTTGCAAAGTTAAGAAAACATTTTGTCTGTTTGCTGCAATGTCACTTAACTGCTTTAAAGTAATTATTTGCAGTGTCTTGCAAAAGTTTTTTTGTTGTTTTTTTTCCCCCCACATTTTGTTGCGGTACAGTCACAGACCTACATGCAATTTTATTGTGGTTTTAACAAAACATAGATAGTAACAATGAAGAGCAAGGGAACACTTTTCGAAAGTGAAAATCTGAAAAGTGTGGCATGGGTTTATAATCAGTACATTTTTTGTTTGTTTGTTTTGTTTGTGCTGAGCCTCTGCCACCTTTGTAGATTTTGAGAAACACATTTTTTTCTCCTGATTTCTCTTCATGAACTTTCCCAGCCTCAGTCAGATTGCAGTGAGGGAACGACAACTTTCAAGTTTTTCACCTCTGACATTAATGCGCCGGTCTGATCCAGATGAAACCTAAACATCAGAGCCCTGGAAATACGTCTTATGTCACACGTCCGAAGTCTCACATCGTAGCCTCATCCACGATTTCACCCAGCATCGTACATCCATCAACTCTGGTCTTGTACATTCAGGTTTAAGGTGTTTTATTACAGTCACAAACCTGTTTCCTCTGACCGTAATAATAGCAACATCGACTGGTGAGAACTGAAAATCAGGGTCATGGCAGGGAGGGCTTCTGACTTCAGCGATTTAGAGCTCATTGCCAAAGAGAAATCCTCAAAATGTCAAAGAAAACATGCAAAAGGTTGATCAGCAAACATGAGAATGGCTTGATTTCTGCAACGCCTCTAAAGACATTTAAGGGTTTATGTCCACCTTGAAATTAGTGGCAATGATGTTTCCGGACAGCAAATTGCCAGTGACAGCTTTGTTGCTTTTTTTAAGAAAAACCTTTGAGACTACTTTGTGTTGTCAGTTCGGGTTTAGTTTAAGTGATTCCTTGATCGAGGTCAGGCAGTCATCAAATGTACCGAAACAGTCAGGCTAAATGTAGCATCACGCAGCATTTTTAAAGTCTTTTAACTGTTCATTCAATCAGCTTTTTGTCACCTCGTCATATAAAATCCCAATGAAAAAAAATCTTGCGCTTTCTAGTTTTAATGTGACAGAATGTGGAAAATTTCAAGATAGCTGATCAATTTTCCAAAACGAGCATCAATGTGCTTATTTCCAAATGGAGAATGTCGTTGCTCTTTGTAACAATGAAACATTGTAACTAATAAACATGGGATTAAAATCAATTCAGGTTAAGGGCTTAGAAATTAATTGCAAAACTGATTACACATATTTAGGATTAGAATGCCTTTTTTTTATATTTAGCTTCTAATTACTTTTCAAAATCATTCAAACCAGTAGAGACAATATATTACTTTTGTCTAAAGGTCTGTACTTTTAATAAAAGAAACAAAGGGGGAGATGTTTACCTTACATACTGATTTACTCTGAAGCTAATGTGGGAAGGCAAATATTGTTAAATAGACAAATGAACACAGTTTTGTTTGTGCGTCTACATCTTGGGGGGAAAAGATGAGCAATACTTTGAAAACCTTTTTTAGATTGACCTAAGAGCAGCATTTCTGTTGATATCAGATAAAACTGTATCTATTCTGTGATTTTTACTGTTTCAGCAGAAAAGGAAAGAGAAAAATGAACCTTTGAGTTGCGATAAAAAAGAAGGAGCAGTAAAATGGAACTTTCTTCATTTTATTCTCTGTCTCATTCGTCCAGGAAGCATCCTAAAAATCCAGGCTCGCTGTGTGCGTGTTTGATCCCTTCCTCTCTCCATCTGTGCGAGCGTGCAGCAGGAGGTCAGGAGGCTTGGCTGCTGGATGTGTTGAATATGCATGCTCTCGTCCACATTCTCTGGCAGACAGTCCGTGTACCCAACACAGGCCTCAGGAAGCGCACCGTGTCACTGCGACTCTTACGGTGTTGCGTTCCGGGCGCCTCTGTCAGGTGCTCTAGTTCCGCAATTCTCTTCCTAAAATCTTGGCTAATTGTGCTGCATTTAAAAATTCAAATTTTTTTACACGACAATAAGTCAATACTGATATATTGCTTCTCTAAATATTGCAGCATTTAGCAAATGCAAACCATTTTGGTAACTCTTCCTGCCTTGAAACAACAGAGAGAAGGTTGCAGCCCTCATTTATTTAAGGGGCTTTTTTATTATTATTATTATTTAGAAAGGACAACAATAAAGGGCAAAGGAAGGTTTGGAGCTGTTGGCTCAGTTTGTGTGCCAGTAACATCTGCCGTGACCTCCAGTAGGGGAGGAGCGGCAGGGCCCAGTCCTCGGCCAGCTCCCCATCACGCAGCGTCACACAAATCAGATCGACAAAGTCAGACACTCTGCCACGGCCCCAAATTTCCTTTCCACTCCCCCCCATCAGTCTGCATATGTCAGAGTCGACTTGTGAGCATTTTGCTGCCTCCTTTGATTCCTCGGTCTATATTCCACTCTGTCGCACAAAGCAATAAAGTGCAAATCTGAGGCAGAGTCTCTCTCTTCCTCTGTCTCTTTCCCTCTCTCTCTGTCTCTCTCTCTCTAAATCGCAGCAGCCTTGTAAACCACCTCCTCACGCCAGCCGGTGCATTATACCATAAATTGAATGTCACCATTGAAGTCAAAACGCCTGTCTCTTTAAAAAATCTCGGCCCTGGTTATGTAAGGCAGTGAGTGACACACATATGATGACACTCGGTGTGTACAGGATGCACACAGGGAGCTGCAGTCCACAGCGTGTGTAATGAGTGTCGGCGCTGATCTCGAGGAGATCTGAGTCAGAGTGGGCACTCTGTCATGGAGAGCTCTCGTTAATGAAGCGCCTCCGTGCCACCAGGCTGCTGGGTTATGGCAGCTTTTGTATGAAAATAAAACAATCAAGTGTTTATTCATTGATTGATTTATTTTATTTTAATCATGAGTTATTATCAGCTCCCATTTACATGCAACACGAGAAGCGGTAGGAATCTGCAGATTGAATCCAGAGGCTGATTGTGATGGATTCTGCCTTCTGAAAGCGTTGCGCTGTGTCACAGCCAATCAAAGGAATCCTTGTGAGCCTTTGCGTTTAAAAATTCACCAAAGCGTCTTTTCAATTACGTCTTCGTTTTTAATTTTTGTTTTGTTTTTTTTTTTGTTTGTTTTTTTCATGGTCTTCATTTCTTCATTCATTT